AAAGAAAGAAAGAAAGAAAGAAAGAAAGAAAGAAAGAAAGAAAGAAAAATATATAGAACAAAAAGGGAGGCTTAACATCTGCAAGAAAGGAAGGAAGGAAAAAATAGAAAGAGAAGGAAGGAAAGAAGGAAGGAAGGAAAAAATAGAAAGAGGAGGAAGGAAATTGGAAATAAAAGGAAGGAAGATGGAAGGAAGGAAGGAAGGAAGGAAGGAAGGAAGGAAGGAAGGAAGGAAGGAAGGAAGGAAAAACTAGAAAGAGAAAAGAGGGACGAAGGGAGGGAGTGAGAAAGGATGGAAGAAAGAAAGAAAAATATCTAGAAGGAGAAAAGGTATAAAATCTGCAAGGAAGGAAGGAAAGAAAAAAATAGAAAGAGAGGGAAAGAAAGAAGGAAGGAAATGAGAAATATGAAAAGACTAGAAAAAGGACAGAGCAAAGGAAGGAAAGAAGTAAGGAAAAAATAGAAAGAGATGGAAGGAAAGAAGGAAGGAAGGAAAAAATAGAAAGAGAAGGAAGGAGATTGGAAAGAAAGAAAGAAAGAAAGAAAGAAAGAAAGAATCCAGAGGGAAAAAAGGAAAACCTCCGATCTGCCACCAACCTTCCATCTCCTCATAGTTTTTTGTTTTTTTTCCCCCTTCCCTTCATCATTTTCTTTTCTTTTTCTCAAAAGAGGAAGCGGGGTTTCTTCGGGGCCCGAGCCAGATGTCCGGGGCTGTCCCTGAAGCGAAAAACAGTTGATGCGTCCCCTGCCCTCCTTCCGTTTTCAAACTCATTTGAATTTCTCTTCCCCCTTTCTTTCTTTCTTTATTTTTTTTCCCTCCCCCTTTCCGAAAGCAAGCAAGGCCGATTTTTATTTCCCCCTGCTACCTCAAGGTTGCCCCCCCCCGCCCTCCACGTCGTCGTTGTCGTAACTCAAGGACCGTCTCTCTCTCTATGCCAATCCTCCTCCTCCTCCTCTCTTTTGCAGGTCTCCTTCGATCTGAATTTCTCCAGCACCTTCACACCTACCGTCTCCGCCTCCTCCGGCTACCCCGAGAAGCCCCTCGGTGAGTGGGAGGAGGAGGAAGGGGGGGGACTTTCTTGGGAGGGGGGGGTCCCCCCAACGGAAACACATACCCCCCCCCTCAATTTTGCAAGCCCCGCCCAAAAGAACCCTTGGTCAGGATTCCTGCAATCACCCCAAATTAAATCACGAGTCTCGAGCCAAACTTCCAAAACTTCCAAAGGGTTTTATTGGGAGTCAACGTGCTGGCATGACCTGGGTGTAGCCGACTCTACGGACACAGCATTCACATTGTCTCCCTTGACCCTGGTTTTTCCCCCACCCCCTCCCCAACCCCTGGGGGTATCCTAATTCATATCCTTCAATGGGACACCTCCATAGCCCAGAGTCATCCATCATGCTCCCCCCGTTAGGATTTTGCCCACAGCAGAAACTTCAGTCACCTGGTTACTATCTTTTGAGAACATGGATGGAATGCGCTTTCGATTTCCACACTGCCGCGCTGCTCCCCACGCTCCCTTTCCGTTGGCCGCTCTAAAAAGACCCTAGAAATATTTTAGGAGCAAACGTTGTTTTTTTCTTTTTTTTAAAGAGAAAGCTAGCGGATCTCTTTGCAAAATATGACTTTCCCAGAATTCCCCCCCTGGAGCCAGGAGTAAGCCGCAGGGCATGATGGGAGATGTAGTTCCAGCCCTGATGGGGGGGATGGATGGGCTCATCCAACAGGGGTGTCTAACCAGGGGTGTCTTTTTTTGGGTGTGTGTGTGTGTCTGTTTTGCTTCCAGTGGTGGAAGGGACCGTCGGGGTGCCACTCTACGTCTTTCTCATCGTGGCGGTCAGCATCACGCTAGGGCTGGCCTTGGCGGTCGGCGTCCTCACCCGGTGAGACGGAGTCTCTCTGTTTGGGGGGAGGGGGAGGGCTGGGAGGGGGGGGTTGGGGGGCTTGGGGGGGATAGGTGAGTCCTTGGAAGGTCTGAATTGCAAGAGCGGGGGGGAAAAAACACGGCTGGGGAAGCAGAGAGAGCAAACAAACTGGGTTTAAGTGGGGTGAGGGAAGGTAAGGTGGTTTGTTTTGGGGGTTGGGAATTCACTGGGGGGAGGACAAGCGGAGCTGAGAGGTCTTTCCTTCCTTCCTTCCTTCCTTCTTTCTTTCTTTTTTCCTTCCTTCCTTCCTTTCTTCCCTCCCTCGCTCCCTCCCTCCCTCTTTTCTTCCTTCCTTCTTTCCTTCTTTCTTTTTTCCTTCCTTCCTTCCTCTCTCTCTCTCTCCCTCCCTCTTTTCTTCCTTACTTCTTTCTTTTTTCCTTCCTTCCTTCCTTCCTTCCTTCCTTCCTTCCTTCCCTCCCTCCCTCCCTGTTGGACTAAAAGTCCTCTAAAGTCCTTTCCAACTCTCCTTCCTTCCTTCCTTTTCTTTTTTCTTTCCTTCCTTCTTTTTTCCTTCTTTCCTCTCTCTCTCTCTCCCTCCCTCTTTCTTTCTTTCTTTCTTTCTTTCTTTCTTTCTTTCTTTCTTTCTTTCTTTCTTTCTTTCCTTCCTTCCTTCCTTCCTTCCTTCCTTCCTTCCTTCCTTCCTTCCTTCTTTTCCCCCCTCTTTCTTTCTTTCTTTCTTTCTGCCGTTGCCCACCCCCCTTCCCCCGGATCCTCCAAACCTTTGGGGTTCCCCTTCCAGAACCTTCCTCCTCCTTCTCCCCCCACCCCACCTCGGGGGATCCAGGCCAGGGAGGGGCCCTCTCGTCCCCGGGCCCACCATCCTTCTAACAGGTGTGCTTTGGCATTCCAGGTACCGCAAGAAGTGGGGGCTCCTGCCCTTTGGCGAGATGAAAGGCACCCCCAAACCCCCCTCCTATGCTCTGGCCCCCATGTCTCCAGAGCCCCCCATGAGTGCCTCCCCCCTCCTCTCCCCTCCCACCTCGCCCTTCAGCGAGAGCTCCATCGACAGCCCGCGGACCCCAGACCAGGGTCCCTTCGACGTCTCCAACGCGGACTACTTCCTGCTGCCCAAATGATCGGGGGGCCCTGCGTTGAGAAGGCCCTGGAGGCCCCCCCCCACACCCCGTGGTTGGCCTACAAGACAGGGGTGGCCCACAGCCCCCCCAAAAAAACCTGCCTTTGGGGGCAGCCTTGCCAGCATTTGCCAAGGATTCCTTCCAGCCCCAAGAACTTAGGAAGGTCCAGTTACGCTCCGAGTTACGTCCAGTTACGTCCCTTCTTTCTGGACCCTCAAAGCGGGTGTGTGTGTGTGTGCTTTGAAGACGGGGTACGTGGTCGAACGGACAACCCTCGGGGGTTCATCCCGGCTGCCCGCGATGAAAGAAGATGCCGTGGATGATGGTTTCCAGGCCTCCCACAATGCCTTTTGCAAAGAACAGAACATCTAAGGAGGCTTTTGCTGGATGGGAATCTATGTTCCACCTGATCCGGTCAGTTTCACTGCCTTTTTCCTCCTACCTGGTCAAGGTTTTGTTTTTTCCACTTCCGGTTACCTTGTTGATTTCCACCTGCTGTTACTCCACCTCCCAAAAATAACCTTCCATTTTGACATCAATCAAAAATTTGCCTCTAGAAGTTGTGAATGCTTCAACACGGGAAGTTTTTTTTAAAAAGTGTTGGATTTTGTCGGAAGTGGTATAGGGTTTCCTGCCTAAGCAGGGGGTTGGACTAGAAGACCTTTTAAGGTCCCTTCCACCTCTGTTATTCTCTATTCTATTCTCAAAATACCTCTTTTCTATTTAAAAAAAGTCTTTTCCCTACAATCATTTTTGTGGGGGCAGTTATCCCACTGGATCCATTTACTCATCCTACCTCAATTGTGAATTTTATAGTTTTGCTACCCCGCCAAAACAGGACTTTTAGAGTTTTTCCTTTTGGTCTTAAAATACGCGTTTTGGACCGATTTTTTTCCCCCACCTCCAGGGATTCAGTCCAAAAGTCATTTCAGGCCTGTTTTTATACCTTTTTTTCAAGCAAGGAAAGGAAGGGAGAAGAAGAAGAAGAAGAAGAAGAAGAAGGAGGAGGAGGAGGAGGAGGAGGAGAAGAAGAAGGAGGAGGAGGAGAAGAAGAAGAAGAAGAAGAAGAAGAAGAAGAAGAAGAAGAAGAAGAAGAAGACTTTTGCAAAATGTGAAGGCATGGAAGAAGAGACGCCCAGCGGCTTTCGAATTGGATGCAAACACATCTGGGCTGCTTCCAGATGTGAAACAGCAGAAGTTGCAAAGCTGCTGTTTTGACTTTACTGGCCTTCTTCTAACCCAAGGAGAATTTATATATATATATATATATATATATTGATATTTGGGATTTCTCGGTGCTCAGTTTCCAGTGCCAATTGTGACACTCTTTTCAAGGAGTTGTGAATTTGGGGGGGAGATTTTTGTACGTGGCGAGGAAACACTGCATGGTGCATGGATTTTTGGGGTGTGTGTGTGTGAACTGTCCCCCCACTTTATTGCAAGCAAGCGAGTTGTGGGGGGAGGGATCATTGACCCCTTCGAATAGTTTTGGGTCAGAAGGCTAAGCCATTCTCAAGAGAACCAACCAGCCTGGTTTCCTTGTTACAACACTTTTTATTTTTTTTATTTTGGGGGGGGGGGTTGTTTTTTTTCTTTTTTTTTCTGCTGCTGTTGGTTCTGCAAAAAAGCTATTTTGTGTGTGTGACGTTTTTTCCTTTGCGTTGTTTTTCAGAGGTCAGAGTATGGGCATTATTTGGCAATTCTGCTTTCTTTCTTTCTTTCTTTCTTTCTTTTCTTTCTTTCCTTCTTTTCCTTTCTTCCTTCTTTTCTTTCCTTGCTTCCCTCCTTCTTTCCTTTCTGCTTGCTTGCTTCTTTTCTTTCTTTCTCTCTCTCTCTCTCTTTCTTTCTTTCTTTCTTCCTTCCTTCCTTCCTTCCTTCCTTCCTTCCTTTTCCTTTCCTTTCCTTTCCTTTCCTTTCCTTCCTTCCCTTTTTTCCTTGCTTCCTTCATTTCTTTTTTGTTTCCCTCCTTCTTTCCTTTCTGCTTGTTTCTTTCTTTCTTTCTTTCTTTCTTTCTTTCTTTCTTTCTTTCTTT